TCAGGTGTTTTTGTTATAGGGAAAATTTAGAGAAATAGCATATAAGATGATTAATTAAAAAACATGATTTATAATAAAAAACATGATTGTGAGGGGTTTTGATCATAACTTAATCAATTGATCAAAACTTTATTAAAAAATTAGTTGCCCAATAGAGCTGTTTAGCTAGAATGGCAGATAGGGATGACAGTAATATATAAGATGCCAAAGGAGGGTGGTGGTGTGAAAAAGGTAGGGGTAATAAAAATAAATTTGATCAGTGATGTGTAGGTTTTAAAACAATTACTCATAACTATTAAGCTCTAATGTCTGAAAGCAGTGTAGGAAAAACAGCGTTGATATTGCACGTCTGAATCTCTCAACCCTCTGACAGTTTTTCTCTCCATTGAAAACAATTGCTTTATAAAGTGAGTTTTTGCTTTACAAAGTGAGTTGCTGCAGGCAGTCCTCTTCCAGTTTCAGATGAAGCCCTAGCTGTACCTGTAGGGCTGTTGGGCCCCACAGGGTCGTGAGGTGTCCCTTATGCTGTGCTGGGGTACAGAGTCTGAGAAGTAAAGAGGCAGGACACTGAAGAACTGGTGAAGAGCATCTGAACTCGGGGGGCCACACCACCGAGGAGCAAAGACAGGCGAGGCCCTGAACATGCAGAAGCATCTGTATTTATTAGGTACAAGTAGGGGGAAGGGTCGTAAGTGAGGTCATCATCTATAGGCTTAGTGATAGGGCATACATAATCATGTGAGTCACAAGCGAGGGTGCCACCCCATTATGTCACCTGGGCAGAGAGGTGGGCCGTGTGCAGTAGGGGGCCATGCTGTGTGCAGTAGTAGAGGGTCGTGTACAGAAAAGGGGTCCCCATTAGGTCACTGAGGCAAGGAGGTGGGCTGTGTGCGACAGGTGTCGTGCACAACATTTCTTATCTGGGGGCTGGAGACCTCAAAGGATTTCTAATAGAAGGATACTGTAAGCCAATGCAGTGGGAGCTGACAGACTTGTGCTCTTCTCTTAAGATACTTATGGGAGGATGATTTGAGCTAGCACAGAATCGAGAAAAGACTGACAGGGTGTACAGCTGACATGACTGGTCACACCAGAGGGGTTCTTTTCCCTTGGTTATTTGCGGGATCTCAGGCCTCAGGCCTACTTTCCACAGGAACTGGATGCAAGGTACTACAGCTCCTTTATCAGGAAGAGAGGCTCTTGCTCCAAGCCTGCCATACAGCATATGCCCTTTCAGGCAGGGATGCCACCGCCTGGGTCTTTGGTTGTTGTCCTGGTCTGGCTGTTTTTCCATGTACTGCTTCTGTTCTGTGACTGCTCTAGGCATTCCTCCTATTACAAACTACTATATGGTTATATAGAAGGATTATATAAATCAGCACTAAATGTGTCAGTACAGCTCTGACTACAATACCTATATGATTATATAGAAAGATTATATGAGACTAAGTATGATTATATATATATATATAAGCTAGATATAGTAAACAGTAAGTTATATGATTACATAGAAAGATTATATGGGACTAAATATGATTATATATATAAGCTAAACATAAGTAAGCAGTGAGTTATACTTCAGGCACTAATGGTGCCTGGGGTCTGCACAGTTCTCCTTCCTCGGTTCCCATGGGGGGTGTTACCCACAGTCCCCATTTTCCTTTCTCCTATGTACCTTTGGCCTGGAATGCCTTTCTTACTCCCTCTCTCTTCTCTAAAATCCTCTTCATCCTCCAGGGGCACATCACAGATCACAATTGCTTTCTGGAGCTCCTCTTTAGAACTCCTCTGTCATTTTGAGCACGCCACTCAGGGCAGTTTCCTTTGTAGAGTGCAAGTGAGCGTGTGTGTGTGTGTGTGTGTGTGTGTGTGTGTGTGTTTTGAGACCGAGCCTTACTCTGTCGCCCAGGCTGCAATGTAGTGGCATGATCTTGGCTCACTGTAACCTGCAGCTCCTGGGTTCAAGAGATTCTCATGCCTCAACCTCCCAAGTAGCAGGGACTACAGGCATCCATCATCACACCTAACTAATTTTTGTATTTTTAGTAGAGATGGGGTTTCATCATGTTGGCCAGGCTGGTCTCGAACTCCTGGCCTCAAGTGATCTGCCTGCTTCAGCCTCCCAAAGTGCTGGGATTACAAGCATGAGCCACTATACCTGGTTGTCTCTGTGTGTTTCTTATTTCCACCAATGGAGTCTAAGCTGCTTGGGGTTAAAGATCAGCTCATACTTTGTGTGCCTTAAAACTTCTAATTTGGTGCCTTCGATGTTATAGTCATTCAAGACTTGTAAACTGAATGAAGAAAGGAAGGAATGAAAGTAGAAGTGGAAATTCAGATACTCAGCCCTATGATGAGGCCCTTGGGATTGACCAAATGGAATTTCTGCAGTTAACCTGGATAATGATATTGTGGTTACTTTTATTTTGACATGGAGAAATCCCTTCCCATCTAAGCCCTCAAATAAAAACTGAAGGGTTGAAGTAAATAGATAATATATGAGATGTGAAAGCTTATTTTCACAAGGCAAAATTTATTACATCAATAAAGCTATATTTTTAAGTAGGATGGCAAATTGTTTTATATAGAATTCTCAAAAAAAAAAATCCTGTCTTCAAATTACAGTATGACTGCAGCTAGGGAAAAAACCCATCTGTGCTCAGAAATAAAAACGGGAATGAGATTTACCAAAATGTATACCATTCTCTACCATTTAAAAAATTCTATGTTCAGAGGCCAGGTGCAGTGGCTCATGTCTGTAATCCTAGCACTTTCGGAGGCCGAGGTGGGCAGATCACTTGAGGTCAGAAATTCAAGACCAGTCTGGCCAACATGGTGAAACCCCGTCTCTACTAAAAACACAAAAATTAGCTAGGTGTGGCGGCACACACCTGTGGTCCCAGCTATTTGAGAGTCTGAGGCAGGAGAATTGCTTGAATTCCAGAGGCAGAGGTACAGTGAGCAGAGATCACGCCACTGCACTCCAGCCTGGGTGACAGAGCAAGACACCATCTAAATAATTTTTTTTAGAATCTGTGTTCAAAATATCTTTAATTTACGAATTAGAACTCTTATTACCAAAAAATTTGTTTTTAAAAAATCTACCTTCCTCAAAAGAGCATATGTTCCTACTATAAAAGATTCTTGGCACCAGTAATCAGGTATTTTCCTGGGCCAAAGAACAGCAATTTTGACAAAATAAAACCCACAGGGTGCCCAGTGAACCCCAGGTAATGAGTGAGTTTAATGTGTTCGCCTGATCATCATTTAATGATCAACATATGAAAACATATTTAAAAAGGCAGAGGATGTGATGGAAAGCTTTGGTTACAACAGGTGTAGGAATTTGTGATGAATGAATCACACAGATTAACTCAGGGAAATAGGAGCTGTTACATAGGTTTGACAATAATTAGTAAACGTGTAAACAGCTTTAAGTTGTTTCTGTCTGCAGCACTTATTCTTTGACCAAACTAAGTTCTTCCTCCAGGAGTGCTGAATGGGTATTTCTCTCTTTAAACTTTGAATCTGGGAAGCACACAGACACATGTCTGGATCTCCTGCCATGATCTTCCTATTCCTTTCTTTCTTTCCCTTTAAAAAAAAAAAAAATGGCAGTGGCCGGGCGCGGTGGCTTAAGCCTGTAATCCCAGCACTTTGGGAGGCCGAGGCGGGTGGATCACGAGGTCAACAGATCGAGACCATCCTGGTCAACATGGTCAGACCCCAGTCTCTACTGAAAACACACAAAAAATTAGCTGGGCATGGTGGCGCGTGCCTGTAATCCCAGCAACTCAGGAGGCTGAGGCAGGAGAATTGCCTGAATCCAGGAGGCGGAGGTTGCGGTGAGCCGAGATCGCGCCATTGCACTCCAGCCTGGGTAACAAGAGCGAAACTCCATCTCAAAAAAAAAAAAAATGGTTTTTTTCTCTCTAATTAAAAACATCTTACAGTCCCACTGTGGAATTTTTTTTTTAAAAATTCAGTACAATATAAAAAAGAAAAGACATTCACAATCTCACTGCTCTTAGACAACCACAGTTTGTTACATTTTCTTCCATCTTTTAAAAATGGGTCTATCTGCATAATGATATTTTTTATACTGTTAAACTGCACTGGTTTTTAAAAAATTATTTTATTTTTAATTGACATGTAATATTGTACATATTTATGAGGTACAGAGTGATATTCTGATGTATTTTGATACATGTATACAATGTATAATAATCAAATCAGGGTGATCAGCATATCCATCATCTCTAACATTGACTATTTATTTGTGTCGGGAACACTGAAAATCTTCTCTTTGGCTATTTGAAAATATGCAATAAATTCTTATTAAATACAGTCACCCTGCAGTGCTATAGAACATTAGAACCTAGTTTTCCTATCTAGCTGCAGTTTCATATCCCTTAACCAACTTCTCCCTATCCCTGCTCCCACCAACCTTCCCAGCCCCTAAGCACAACAATTCTGCTCTCTGCTTCTATGATCTCAACTTCTTCAGCTCCCACATATGAGTGAGAACAGCTGCACTGTTTTCCTATCCTACTTTTCCCCCCCAGTTAATATCACATTACGAGCATTTCTCCTTGTCACTGGAAACTTTGTCAACTTCATTTTTAATCACCAGTACTAATAATTTACCATTTCAATGTGCTTTGTTTTTCTTCAAGATGCAAAGCTCTCTGGGTCCTGATGGGCTGGGCAAACCTTTCTTTATGACTCTTTTTCTATGACCTTCCTCACGGCATCTCTTTCTTACCCATCCCTGTTTTAACACACAAATGGTCAGGGGAAGCCAGACTGAGCTGGCTTAGATCGAATCGGGTCCAAAGTCCTTAAGTGACAGAGGCACAAGGGAACAGCTTCAAGCTAAGCTTTGCCATCCACATCACCTGGGAGTCTTCTCAGCTCAAAAAGGAGGCCACAGAAACAAATCTCTCAGCACATTTTTACAAGGCTTAAGTCAGAAGCTCCTTTCCTTATGCCAAGATATACCTGGAACAACGGGAAATTTAAGAGGAGGAGTGGGAGGAGGAGGAAGTGGCAGCCCCGCCCGACTCAGGGATGGAAGGACCTTTCTAGCAGGGTGACTGTAAAGTCTCACAAGGCATTTAGGTCTAGAATTGTGCTGCTGACTGGTTGAAAGGCCTTGGCTGACAGGAGAAGGAGAGAGATGGATCAGGGTGAGTAGTGGGAATCGACTTACCTTTTTGGAGGTACTAAGTCAAAAGAGGAGAGAAGTTTGGAGAGGGTAGAGGATGAAGGGAAGAGACAGGAGAGCCTGAATTGATGATTGGTGGCTCATTGTGCAGTTTGGTTCCTTCTTCCCCCTTCCCCATCTGCATTTGAACCTTGGAGCACAAATCCTATGGCCATTTGTTTTCTTTTCTGAAGCTGTGAACAGCTTTTTCTTTAAAATCTGGGGGGCTGAAATGGCCTTGGGAAGTCTGAGGAGCCCCAAAAAGAGCTTGGCCCCTGCCACCAGGTGTCCTTGGGTGCTTGGGAGGCTATTTCTATGGTCAATTTATGAAGATGTTGGGAGACCCCTCTCAGACCCTAGACCTCTCCCTCATCCAGCTTCTCCCCTGACGCTCAGGGCCCCACTCAGAGTTGCTCCCCCCACCCCTGAGCTCAGGCCCCTTACTGGATCTCTTCAGAACCCCTGCTGCTCCTCTACTGGGAGTGAGAAGAACAGGTGCCCATAGGCCGGGCCAGCCTGGTTGACACACGGGGCCTGCCAGGGAGGGCACTAAACATGGGTCTTGTATTTCTTTTTTTATCTTTTTTTTGAGATGGAGTCTCCCTCTGATCACCAGACTGGAGTGCAGTGGCATGATCTCAGCTCACTGCAACCTCTGCTTCCCAGGTTTAGGGGATTCTTCTGCCTCAGCCACTTGAGTAGCTGGGATTACAGGTGCATGCCACCACACCCGGTTTTTTGTATTTTTAGTAGAGATGGGCTTTTGCCATGTTGGTCAGGCTGGTCTTGAACTCTGGACTTCAGGTGACCCACCCGCCTCGGCCTCCCAAAGTGCTGGGATTACAGGTGTGAGCCACCATACTCAGTCATATATTTCTTGCAATAATGTTCTAAAGCACGTATTATGCTCCAGTGGCTGGGCACTGTGTCTCACACTGGGTATGGTGGCTCGCACCTGTATTCCCAACATTTTGGGAGGCCAAGGCAGGTGGAGTGCTTCAGCTCAGGAGTTGGAGACCAGCCTGGCCAACATGGCGAAACCCTGTCTCTACTAAAAATACAAAAATTAGCCAGGTATGGTGGCACACGTGTGCAGTTCCAGCTACTTAAGAGGCTTAGGCGGGTGGATTGCATGAGCCTGGGAGGTCAAGGCTGCAGTGAACTGAGATCATGCCACTGCACTCCAGCCTGGGAGAAAAAGTGAGATCCTGTCTCAAACAAAAAATAAATTCGAGATATAAATGGTTTTAAAATGCAGCCAGGGTTTGATAGAGAAGGCTCAAGAAGCTTGTCATGTGCTAAATTCCAGGGTATTTTAGGGTTATATTTTAGGGTATCTTTTCCCCTTGACTATCCCAAACTAGAGTAAGTCTAAAACAGTTATATTATTTTTTAAAATTGCATAGTCTAATTAAGTAAATAATACACACAAATATATACTTGCTATAAAAAGCTAAAAGTTCACACAGAATTTTAACAAGCTCAAGTTCCCTTTTACATACCTATATACTTTCAATCCTGATCCTCTTCCATAGGAAAGCCCCGTTAGCATTTAATCAACTGCTTCCAAATAAAACTAGATTATATGAAATGGTTTGTTTTGCACAATTTTGTGCTTATATTGTATATATTATTTGATGGCTTGCTTTTTAAAAATAATCATGTATCTTAAAAATCTTTCCATGTCACTGCATATTGATCTATCAAAAATTTGTAATGATTATAATTTTCCATTCTGGGCATATAAGCACAATTTATTTAATAAATTTATTAATTTGCATTGGCTTAGTTTGTTACTATCTCCTATTGATGGGAATTTAGATTGTTTCTTTTTTTTTAATTTTATTTTTTGAAACAGTCTTGCTCTGTTGCCAGGTGCCATGTTGGAGTGCAGTGGCACAATCTCGGCTCACTGCAAACTCTACCTCCCGGGTTCAAGCAATTCTTCTGCCTCAGCCTCCCGAGTAGCTGGGACTACAGGCACACGCCACCACACCCAGCTAATTTTTGTATTTTCAGTAGAGATAGGGTTTCATCATGTTGGCCAGGATGGTTTCGATCTCTTCACCTGGTGATCCACCTGCCTCGGCCTCCCAAAGTGCTGGGATTACAGGCTTGAGCCACCACACCCGCCCTAGATTGTTTCTAATATAAGCAGTGCTGCAATGATGTCCCTGATGATATAACTTTGCATACATGTGCAAATAGTTTTTGTATGTAAGATTTCTAAAAGAATAACTGCTGGATCAAAGCAATATCCACTTTAAATTTTGATGGATATCAACTGATTGTCTCTAAAAAGTCTATGTATATGTACACTCCCACCACCATCAATATATGAGACAGTCCATTTCCATATGCTCTCAGCAAAATAGGTTATTCTTATTCTTTTAAATATTTTTGAATGGATCAGAGAAGAATCTCATGATTGTTTTAGCTTTCATTTCTTGCTGTTATTATAGCAAGACTGTCTTTTTGATATTTATAGGCACTTTTATATATTATGAATAGCAATGCTTTGTTACCTAAGAGGCAAAAGACCTAAGATTTTAACTTGTGCAGCCAGCTTAAGAACACTTTTTCCTGCCAGCAGCTATTTGAATTGCTGGGTACTGGGTGTAAATAAACAGCAATATAGTTAATCATGTAGACACCATTAAATGAAAATAATGTTTCAAAGAAACATCAGAGTCGTAGGTGATTAACTGAATAATAAGGGGTCAGAGTCTAGGAAATTGCAGAACAGGGTGATAGATTGAGTGGGTCCTGGAGCTGGTTCTGTCCTGACCTGCTGAGCCGCCTGAGGGCTTGTGCCTTCCTTGGCATCTTAGAATGAGGAGGCTGAGAGGGAGCTGTGTTTTTTATTGTGTTCTTTGGAGAAGCCTGGGGATGGGCAGAACCCCTACCTGGTTCTCTCACTAGAGAAGTTCCTCTTAGGTCTTTTATTATGTTTTCATTTGAAGAAAGCACAATACTCACTTACTAGGAAAAAAAAAGTTTGAAAACCTTCAGACCAGTACCACCAGCCAGAAGTTAAGAACTAGGCTCTGTAGTCAAACTGTCTAGGTTTAAATGCCAATTTTGCCACTTAATTAAGTAGGTGACACCGGGCAAATTATTTAACTTTGCCAATCATCTTTCTATTTATCTGTAACATAGGGCTGATAATATCTAATTGGATAGTTACAGGGAGAGCAGGATGATTCCTGTAAAGCCTGGAGTTCCATAACGCTTAGTTAATATTCGCTAGATATTCAACTATTATTGCAAGTGCAAACATACCCCCTATATTCTGAAATGCTTGGGAAGGATTTTATGGAAGAGTGGCGGCTGGGTTTTGTTTGAAGAGTGGGTACAATGGAGACACAAAGAGATTGGGGAAGGGCCAGGAGCTGTGAGAGGTAGATACGAGAGTGATCTATTTGGAGGCCACAGTACAAGTGAAGCAGTTTATTTATGGGCTAGAAGGAAGTAAGATTGGAGAGATATGTTAGAACCATGTTGTGGAGGGCTTTGAATGATTGGCTAAGGAATTTGGACTTGAACTTTTAAGTAATAAGACATTTTTTTTATTGCGCACTAAAAGAGGCACAAAACACGGCAGTAATCTCATATAGAAATCTCTTCATATGCTCTCACACAGATTATACTCTTTCACATTTTTTAAGAAGGGAAGAAATGAAAAAGAATAAAGTATTTGTAAAAGTCCTAAAAACGGACAAGGATAACCAGAAGTAGAAAGAGAAAAGAAGGTAGAATAAATGCAGAAACAAAGAAGGGACAGAGGTGAGTCCACCTGGCATTTTGCGGCAGGTGCCAATTCTTTGCCAGCTGCACTAGATAGAATTTGCCCTTTGTTGTCTCCACCTGTAGTGTTCAGGCCTCACCACTAGCCTGACTGCCTGGGACTTTGTTGGCAGTTGATTCCTTTAACTGAACCCATTCTTCATCCACCTGAGGCCTTAGGAAGTTCTGCAAGTCAAAATATTTCAATAAGTATTTATTAGCCTGCCACATGCCCAGGGATGCCAGCCCCTTGCACACATAGAGTGGTCCTTCTTTTCCTCTTACCAGTACCTCTGTTTAGGTCCTCATGAGCCTTTGGCTTGGTTCATTGTGACAGGGATCTCACTGCCCTTCCCACATCCTTGTCTTCTTTCCCTTTGGTCTGGGCTAAATTCCACAGCCGAATTAATCCTAAAGTAAAGCTTTGATCCTGCCACTCCTGCTCAAAAGCCTGCCTTTAATCAAAGTAGCACTTTCCCTAAGTACAAAGGGAATACATATTCAAAGTAAAAGCTTGGGAAATGCCAAAAAACTTAAAAATTTCTGATAATTTTACCACCTAAAGATAATCTGTACATACTGATTTTTAGTATTTTCAAAAAAACTTCATTTCTAATGCCTTGTGAATGACTTCTCTCTAATCTTTACTCCATTTTTTGGTTGCTATTGATGCCCTCTTTGTTGGAATCAAGTTGGAATCATCAGATGAGAGGAATCAAGTTTATGTAGCCAACTCCTATTGTAAGATATTTGGGTTGCACTGAACACTTGTATGCTTAATTTTTGTACACAAATTATTATTTTTTTAGTTTTTATTTTTGAGACAGAGTCTCGCTCTGTCACTCAGGCTGGAGTGCCATGGCACAATCTCCACCAATGCAACCTCTGCCTCCTGGGTTCAAGCAATTCTCTTGCCTCAGCCTCCTGAGTAGCTGTGATTACAGGCACACACCACCATGCCTTGCTAATTTTTGTATTTTTAGTAGAGGCAGGGTTTCACCGTGTTGGTCAGGCTGGTCTCGAACTCCTGACCCTGTGATCTGCCCGCCTCAGCCTCCCAAAGTGCTAGGATTACAAGTGTGAGCCACTGCACCTGGCCACAAATTATTATTAAAAAAAAAATCCTAGACGAGAAGTTCATAGGTAAAAGGTATTTTTGTTTTAAGGCTTTATTTTATTTTGAGACGGAATCTCGTTCTGTCCCCAGGCTGGAGTGTAGTGGCACAATCTCAGCTCACTGCAACCTCCGCCTCCTGGGTTCAAGCGATTTTCCTGCCTCAGCCTCCTGAGTAGCTGGGATTACAGGCATGTGCTACCACACCCAGCTAATTTTTGTATTTTTAGTAGAGGTGGGGTTTTATCATGTTGGCCAGGTTGGTCTCAATTTCTTGACCTCATGATCTGCCTAACTCAGCTTCCTGAAGTGCTGGGATTACAGGTGTGAGTTGCCTCGCCCAGCTGCTTTCTTTTATTTTGTAATAAATATTGATAAACTGCCCTCAGAAAGATGTAACATTTTTTTCTTCCCATCAAGGATAGATCAACCCATGACTACTGAATCAAGCAGCAGCATCTTGGCCGGGTTGCAAGCCCTTCTTCATCCTGGCCCTGCTGCTCTCACAAGCTCTGCCCTCTTCCATCCCCTTCATCCCCAGTGCTTTTCTGCAAGATGACTCTCCTTGAACCTCATGCACATGTGTGTCTAACCATTCAGCAAATGTCACCGACCACCCACCAGGAGGGCAGAGATTGTGCAGGTTAAGGGGGCAGGCTCTGGAGATCCATCCTCCCTGGGTTTGAATCCTATCTCCACCCAGCACCTTCCTGTATGTCGGGAACAGTATCAACAGCTCCGTTTCAGAGGGGTGGTGAGAACATAAATTATTTCAGACATGTAAAATGCTCTGAACAGTGCCGGGCATGTGGTAAGTATTCCATGAACATTACCCTTGCATCTGCAGTTAGGCATCAGGCTCCTTTCTAGGCAGGGGGATCTGCATTTAAAGATGGCTGAGGTCTCTTGATTTTGTGGAACCAATTCTAGATATTAAGTGCCTTGAAGAAAGTAGAGGGGAGCTGTGATAACAAGTAATCACATGGTGGAAAGTAAAGCATCATGCTTGGTGGCCAAAGAAAGCCCCTGTGCAGTAGTTACTGCTGAGCCAAGACCCGAGTGGAAAGACGGAGGCATGCGTTAGAGCAGGGCTGTCTTGGGTTTGGTGTCAGAGGATACGAGTTTTTCATCGCAGAGCTTATCGTAGGCAGATAGCTGTTTTAATGTCTCTTTTTTTCTTTTTCTTTTTTTTTTTCTGAGACAGAATCTCTCTTTGTCACCCAGGCTGGAGTGCAGTGACGCAATCTCGGGTCACTGCAACCTCAGCCTTCTGGGTTCAAGCGAGTCTCCTTCCTCAGCCTCCTGAGTAGCTGGGATTGCAGGCGCGTGCCACCATGCCTGGCTAATTTTTGTATTTTTAGTAGAGATGGGGGTTTCACCATGTTGGTCAGGCTGATCTCGAACTCCTGACCTGTGATTCGCCTGCCTCCGCCTTCTGAAGTTCAGGGATTACTGGTGTGAGCCACCGCGCCCAGCTGTCTCCTTTTTCTTAAAAGGCTGTTAATACGTCAGGATATGTTTTGATCCTTTTATACGTTAATACATCAGGATATGTTTTGATCCTTTTATGCCCTTGTCTTTGTATTAGTCAAGTAAGTGCCAGGAGTCTTGTGGCTGGGGCTTAGCTCTCCTCTTACTCATGCCATTAACTCCAGTGGGACTCTGGCCAAGTCAAAAAGGCCTTGTGGGTGCTGACATGTTTTTACTAACTGATTCTGCTTGATTTCCTGCTTTGTTAAGTGTTTTCCTGATCCTTTTGGCTTTCTTTTCCTGCTCTTGAAAACCCTTCCTTTTGTTGTCTAAATCATCGTCTTTTTGATGTGAGAAGTACTTCAGTGGAATGGAATAAAAAAGAAAACCTGAATGACCAATAGAGAATGAGTTTTCTCTATGCACTGCGACTTGGGCATCAGGAGAGGAAGATGTCTTCCTTCCTCCTCCTCGCCTTTCTTTCCCAAACTAAGAGAAACCTCGCTCAGGAAAAAATTGAGTTGGCTGTCTCTAGGAACTATGGTTTGAGCTACAAACAGCAGCCAGGAAAAGTCTGCCCTGAGTCCTGTTCCCTCCTGTGTGTCCCTGCCTCTTTTGGATCTATGATTATTCAGGATGGGAGTTGTGTATGGGATGGAGTGGCTTTCTGTGAAGACTCCGTGGTCCTGCTGTGAAAACTTTAGGCTCAGGGACAAATGAGATGCAACCAGTTACCAACCAGATCTAGGCCAGCTGCTTTCTGACTTTTAACTATGATCCATGATTTATATCATGACCCAGCTACACATAAAATTGTCCTTGTTCTTCCTGTGTGTGATGCATTGTATGTTTTCTATTCTATTCAATTTTTGTTATTACTTGGCACCTCTCTCTAAATTGATTTCATAAATTACAAAATGAGTTGGACCTGAAGTTTAAAAATTGCTATTAAATGATCAAAAGGCATCCATCTTAGATCTTTCTCTGAATTTTCTGGTTCCAATAACATATCTATTTAAGTGCCCCAACACATCAAGAGGCTTAACAAATTTGTACCAATTGATCCAGTAATTCACCTTTATTGAATCTACCTTACAAAGGACTGTTACTAAGAGGCGGATCAAGGGATCATTGTGCATATTCTGTTTTTAGCCTGACATTTGACATGTTTATGGAAAACATGAAAACTGGATTTGATTTTAGATTGTGAAGGAAATTTAAAAACACTGACTTCAGCTTTATTCAAAGATTAGATGTAGTTATAGCAGTTGAACAACCATGCCTAAAGAGTGCAATGGCACGATCTTGGCTCTCTGCAACCTCTCCCTCCCAGGCTCAAGCAATTCTCCCACCTCAGTCTCCCAAGTAGCTGGGATTACAGGCGCTTACCACCAAGCCTTGCTACTTTTTGTATTTTAGACAATGGGGTAGACAATGGGGTTTCACCATGTTGGCCAGGCTGATCTCGAACTTCTGACCTCAAGTGATTCACCTGCCTCGGTCTCCCAAAGTGCTGGGATTACAGGTGTGAGCCATGGCACCCTGCCCCAAAGAGTATTTATTAATGGCTCAGTGTTAACATGGAGGAAAGAGTTGATGATACACCTCTGACCTCCAACTTAAGCCCTAACTCTTAGAAACAACTTATTATTGACTACTTAGATGAAGACTGGAAGATAGTTTAGCCAGTCTACATATGGAAAAGTAAAACATTTGTGTCTAAAAATCAGGATCTATCAACCTGGGCAACATAGGGAAAATCCATTTGTACAAAATAAAAAAAATATATAGCCGGGCATGGTAGTATACAACTGTGGTCCTAGCTACTTGGGAAGCTGAGGTGGGAGGATCACTTGAGCCCAGGATGAAGGCTGAGGCTGCAGTGAGCCAGGAACATGCCATTGCGCTGTAGCCTGGGCCACAGAGTGAGACCATGTCTCAAACAAACAAACAAAAAAAGTGTCAAGACAGGTAGGAAAGATGTGAAAACATAAAGAACCTCTGTAGAAGTTCAAAATGCGAACAGCACAAAAACTGATTGGGAGCAAACATGAGTTTTTCCTTTAGGACGCTGCTTAGCAGTCTCTATTCCCAGTAAAATATGTCTCCAGACATTGCCAAATGTCCTCCAGGGCACAGAATTTCCCCTGTTGAGAATCGCTGAGATAAACTGATGTACTACTAGGGGAAAGAATGAACTTTTGTTGACAGTAAATGCAATATAAACATTGCCAGCAAAGGTAGCAAAAGAACTGTAATCCAAGACCTCATGATTTTTACCAGTAAAGAGTAATAATGACTGAGTGATTACTCTGTACCTAGCACAATGCCAAGGTCCTTCCATGGGCATCCTCACTTAACGCCCATGTGAACTCTATGAGGTGGGAATACAATAGTCTCCATTTTTCAGACGAGGACACTGATGTCTAGGGACCTTAAGTGGCTTGCTTGAGGTCTCACAGCCCAGGTGATAGACCCGGGGCTGTGTCGGTCCAGAACCCGCCCACTGCCCACTGTGCTATGAGAGTTTCACAACCATATACCAGGTGCGCACACACAGGAACCATGCAGTGCCCTCCTCATACACCTAGAAATGGCTGAGAAGCCAGGAATAAGTTAGAAGTGACCCAGAGAATCTTCAGAATCCCAAAGTAGGGACTTGCCCTATTGCTGAAGTCTCAGTCTCCAATCAGCCCACTAGCTTAATTGATGCAAAATCCTAGTATGTTTATTCTTATATCAGTAGGAAAATAGAGTGACTTTTAGAAAGATTGTCACCAAATAGTTAAGAGCATGTAGCAGCTCTTCAGGGGTTAAGTTTCGGTTATCTGGAATTGTTTCCCTTTCGGGGATGCAATTCTTGACCATTGTGGCTCCAGGTCCAGACGTGGAACTCACCAGGATCAACACCTCCCTTCCCGCCAACCTCCTGCACCTCCCAAAAATGACTGAGAAGAGTCAGGGGATGCCTGAGCCCAGGGAGTTGCAGGCGGGCATGACCTGTCTCCTCCTCTCCCCTAGTGGCAACCTTGCAGCTCGAGTCTGTCGACCTGCAGATCTCCAGGAACAACAAAGAGCACCACACGCAGGAGATGGGCATCAATCGGCTCACTGTGCGGCGCGGCCAGCCCTTCCACCTCCGGCTGAGCTTCAGCCGACCCTTCCAGTCCAAGACCAACCACATCACCTTTGTGGCTGAAACCGGTGAGTTTCCCCTTCCCCAAGGCCCGGCAGGGGCCCTCAAAATGAGAGCATTAACAGTCTGCTTACAGGGCCCCTACCTTTCCTACTTGAGCCGCCCTACACTTTCTTGTCCTGGGAGCCTCAGGCCCCTCATGATCAGGACCCTGTTAGTGCTATTAAGGAGAGATTTGGTCATTTGGGCAAACTGAGGTTGTGGCAGTAACAGCCAACCTGTAGATACACAACAAGCACTGTGCTAAAACTTCACACACATTAGCTCATTTAATCCCCAGGACAAGACTTTCAGGTGGTATTATTATGATCCTAATTTAACACATTAAAAAATGGAGGCCTGGGCATCTTAATTGGTTTGCCTGAGGACTCCCAGTGGCAGTAAAAGCCAAAAGCATTAGCAAGTGGTGGGAGAAGGTGACGGTCCTTCCAGACCCCCTGGAATCATATACCACACAGGTTTTTTTAAGTGTCACTTTGGGATCATTTTCTCCTACACAGGACCCAAGCCATCAGAGCTGCTGGGGACCCGAGCCACATTCTTCCTCACCCGGGTCCGGCCTGGGAATGTCTGGAGTGCTTCTGATTTCACCACTGACTCCAACTCTCTCCAAGTCTCCCTTTTCACACCAGCCAATGCAGTTATTGGCCATTACACTCTGAAGATAGAGATCTCTCAGGGCCAGGATCACAGTGTGACTTACCTGCTGGGAACTTTCATCCTACTTTTTAACCCTTGGAGTGCAGGTAGGAGCATGCTCACGGCTTGTAATGCTAACCTGATCCATTGGGGAGGCTCTGTGAGGTTCTTTGGAAAAAGCCCAGAAAATAAATTGCCCCATAGCTATGCAATATAGTACTGTGTGCTCTCACAAAAATCATCTTTACAAAGATTTTTAATGGCATGAGTAAAGTATTCATGGTGTGATGTTATGTGAAAACAATGGAACATTTCCCAGTATGATTCTAATTGTATTAAGTATTTGTGCACAGAAAGAGTGGCTAGAATATACTAAAACGTAATGGGTGTCTCCGAGTAGCGGAATGAGCGATTTCCATTGTCTTCTTTCCGCCCATCTGTATTTTCCGAATCTCTGCAGTAAGCCACTCTATAATCAGTCACTTTTATAATCAAGAAAAGATCATTGTTTTTTTTAAGTATACATTGTATTTCTGGCTTCTAGAAAAGCACACAGTAGACCTTTAAGGGGGTCCAGTCTTAATTACTATTGCTATCAACCATTGGCTACTCCTCCTGTTTTCCAGAAAAATGTTGACTTTACTGTTTTTTAATTTTATTATTTATTTTGGTTTGGGGTTTTGTCCCCTCCACTGCTCTTAACGCTCAGAGGATGACGTCTACCTGCCAAGTGAAATACTGCTGCAGGAGTATGTCATGAGAGATTATGGCTTTGTTTACAAGGGTCATGAAAGATTCATCACCTCCTGGCCATGGAACTACGGGCAGGTAACACCATTACCCAATGTGGGACTAGGATGGGCTCCTTAAGGCTGGTCCTTAAACAACCCTGTTATGTAAGGCTGTTATATTACACAGCCCTCATGGACGGCCACTAACACAGGAAAGGGTGTGTGAGGTGTTGGGCCAACTTCACATCAAGTGAGGGGGCAAGGAAGGAAGGGGGGGTGGATGTCTTTCTTTCTTTGTTTTTTTTTTTTGTTCTGTTTTTGTTTTGTTTTGTTTGAGATGGAGTCTCACCCTATCACCCAGGCTGGAGGGCAATGGTGCGATCTTGATTCACTGCAATCTCTGCCTCCTGGGTTTAAGCAGTTCTGTCTCAGCCTCCTGAGTAGCTGGGATTACAGGTGTCTGCCACCAAGCCCGGCTATTTTCTGTATCTTTGGTAGAGACGAGGTTTCACCAGATTGGCCAGGCTGGTCTCGAACTCCTGAACTTGTGATCCACCTGCCTTAACCTCCCAAAGTGCTGGGATTACAGGTGTGAGCCACTGCATCCAGCCCCCTTTTTAGTTTGTAACATTTTTTTATGAAAACCTTAAAGCATAATCAAAGTAGACAGGCTACTGTAATGAATCTCCATGTACCCACCTCTCGGCTTCAATAGTGTCGTTTCAGCAATACCAGGGGTTTGCAAACTACAGCCCACAGACCAAATGTGGCCTACTGCCTGTTTAGCCCATGAGCTGAGAATAGTTTTCACATTTTTTAACTGTTGAAAGGAATTTTAGAAGAATAATATTTTGTGATGTGAAAATTAAATGAAATTCAAATTTCAGTGTTCACAAATAGCATTTTATTGCAACATAGCCATGTTTATTAATTTAGATATCATCTGTGGCTGCTTGCATGCTGCAATGGCAGAATTGAGTTATTGAGACAGAGACCTTATGGCCTGCAAAGGCTAAAATAGAACTATTTGGTTCTTCTTTTTTTTTTTTTTAGACGGAGTTTCGCTCTTGTTACCCAGGCTGGAGTGCAATGGCGCGATCTCGGCTCACCGCAACCTCCGCCTCCTGGGTTCAGGCAATTCTCCTGCCTTAGCCTCCTGAGAAGCTGGGATTACAGGCACGTGCCACCACACCCAGATAATCTTTTGTATTTTTAGTAGAGACAGGGTTTCACCATATTGACCAGGATGGTCTCGATCTGTTGACCTCGTGATCCACCTGCCTCGGCCTCCCAAAGTGCTGGGATTACAGGCGTGAACCACTGCTCCTGGCCACTACTTGGTTCTTTACAGAAAAATCTTGCCCATCCCTGGTCTGTACTCCTCTGTGTCCACACCCACTCCTCACTTTATTGTTAGGGTTTTTTTTTTTTGAGATGGAGTCTCACTCTGTTGCCCAGGCTGACATGCAGTGGCGTGATCTCGGCTCACTGCAACCTCCACTTCCCGGGTTCAAGCGATTCCCCCGCCTCAGCCTCTGAGTAGCTGGGACTACAGGTTCATGCCATCACGCCTAGCTAATTTTTGTATTTTTAGTAGAGACAGGTTTTCAACATGTTGGCCCGGCTAGTCTCTGACTCCTGACCTTAGGTGATTCACCCGCCTTGGCCTCCCAAAGTGCTGAGATTACAGGTGTGAGCCACTGCGTCTGGCCAATTTTTTTTTTTTTAAAGCAAATTACAGATAACATATCATTTAATCCAGTAATACTTCAGCATATTTAATCTGGTAATACTTCAGAATGTGGTCATGTAAAAGATGATAACTTTCTGAAAAACTTAATCACAATACATGAAAAAAAAAAAAAAAACCGAACAGTAATTCTTTAACCACATCAAATATCCAGTTAGTGTACACAGGGGGGCCTTGGCTCTGGGAAACAAGTCCACTCTCAACCCCTGAAGGCGTGTTTTCTCTCTCCCTCCCACTGCCACCTCAATCCTGTCCACAAACTCCAGAAGGGAAGAGGTGGGGGAAGCCTTGCACATTTTCCCCATTCTCCGACCATGGCAACCTGTGACCCTCTTTGAAACTGAGACAAATACCTGTGCATTTGGCAGCCAAAGTGTTGAGACAGACATTGTGCACGTCTATCCTGAGCCTACCCTGGCTCTTCCAGGGCATACAGTGTCTGCTCTGAGCTCCTTTACCTGGTTTCGAGACTGGCATGCCTGGCCTTACATTGATCTCTAGATTTTTTCTGCTGTGATCTTTTCCCTGCTCCTTCAAGTCCTCCAGATAGGCGTCTAAGTCCTTGATACCCACCATGCTCAAAGACCTCAGGTAAATGTCCCCACTCTCCTCTCTTCCTGTTCACCCAATCCAGCAAAGTCCATTGGTACCAAAACCTTCTCTCATCTATTCAGTCAACAGGGATCTCTCACTCTCAAATTCTGTTTCTATTTTCCATCAGAGCAACACAGTTTAGTTTTTCAGAATTCCAAACCTAATACATTCCCAATTTGATTTACAAGTTCTTCAAAGACAGGACCTTGTCTTATATTTAGTGTGCCCCCCTCACATCCCCATGTACATGCCATCCCCAAAAGTCTGTTAGTGGCTTAAAGTTTCAGAATTCTAGACATTTGCTCTTCTCTTCTTTCTCCCTCAAAATCACTTGGAAGTTTGAAGAGGACGTCATAGACATCTGCTTTGAGATCCTGAACAAGAGCCTGTATTACTTAAAGAACCCGGCCAAAGACTGTTCCCAGCGGAACGACGTGGTGTACGTGTGCAGGGTGGTGAGTGCCATGGTAAGGATGGATGCTTCCCACCGTCTGAGGACAGTCTGAGCTTCCCCGGGCGCTGTGGAAACTCACCTGTCTGTCCTATGCAGATCAACAGCAATGATGACAATGGCGTGCTGCAGGGGAACTGGGGTGAGGACTACTCCAAGGGGGTCAGCCCTCTGGAGTGGAACGGCAGTGTGGCCATCCTACGGCAGTGGTCAGCCAGGGGCGGGCAGCCTGTGAAGTATGGACAGTGCTGGGTCTTCGCTTCTGTTATGTGCACCGGTGAGCAAAAGATCACTCATGTAGACATGCGATTACTTTCCCGTGGCCCCACCGCTGGGGATGGTGGGCACCCAGGCCCTGAACCAGCACACCATATAGTCTCAAAGGATCCTGTGCATTTATGTGAGAGGGGTGTTGACCTGTGGCAATCACTGCACAGTATCCTTGATGGAGCAGTCAGACTGTTATAACAGTCACCTGGATAGAAGAGCTTGTAGTCCCGAAGCAGAGACCAAATGGCTTCTTTCTGCCATCTGCTCTGGCATCTCAGCTCGAGGCGAGCCTGGCATGGGGGCAGGTGCAAGCAGATGGCATGAGATAGCTGACCTCACCCGTAGGCAGAGCTAGCAGCTCCCACATGCTTCACCAAGAGATCCTTGAGCAGTTATCATTATAGACTTGCTGCTTTGGTGACTACCCTTAAAGAACATCAATGTTTTATGCAGTATCAGTTATTTAGAATTCAGTGCAAAGTTGTTGAGCAGATTATCTGTGAAGATGAGAGGAAGATGGAGAATACTAAGGTGACTGCCTGTCACACCCTTGCAAGGCCAAAATGCCTTACACAGGCCTGTCCTGCTACATTAGGGAGTGGAGCTTGATCAACGTTTGCTGAACTAACAGGGTGACTCTGAGTTGGAAAAAGGAGGAGTGGAGAATGAAGAGGACAGAGACAGGTGCCAAAGACAAGAGCAGAGACTTTTTGGAGAGGAGCGGCACAGCCTGGCAGTTATATATAGGTGTTGCAAAGACAGAGGAGGTTTAAATCTGAGTTTTTGAATCCAGTGACCTCACTTTGCTCAGGTGTGAAATGGGGCTGGGGCTATTCTGGCATTCAGTATTCCCAGTTGTCCCTTGGGTTGGGAAGTCCCCAGGCTGTGGCCAGGTAGCTGTTACTGAGGAGGCTTGGGATGAGTAGGAGAAGGATGAGGTCCACCACCTGCTCCAATTCCAAGCCTCTCCCCACTTCCAGGCCCTTGAGTTCTGGGGCCACTGCGCGCTGGGGAAGCTGCCCCTGCCAAGTTTCTTCTGGCCACTTGCAGCCCATGTGTTTCTCCCATGCCTGCTATGGATCTGTGACAAGCCCAGGAGCTGTGCTGTGAGTGGACAGGTGACTGTAGAACAGTCAGCCTTCTTGGGGGCTCTTCAGAGAATCAAAACAAATGGATTGGATGCTCTCAATAGTCCTTTTACTTTTCAAAGCTGTGTAATCCTCCTGGCAGCCTCAGTGGGCATTGTCTGCCCCTCCCCCTCCTGGGAGAGAGGAGTGGGATAAACCTCTCCAAACTCCTCGCCATGCTGAAAGATTTTGAGACCCATGTTCCCCCAAGTTCACACCTGGCTCTTGCTGGCTCTTGGCTTGACTTCGTCTGGGCCTGGGCAGGCAGATGTGTGTGTGTGTGTGTGTGTGTGTGTGTGTGTGTGTGTGTGTGTGTGTGTTGGGGTGATGTCTACACTTTGGGACTAGATTTGTGAAATCCTAACTCAGTTTTTAAAAGCCTTTATGGCAGTATCATGAGAGGCCGCAAGAGGGAGCTGCTGCCTTATTAAAGATGATTGCTGCCTCTGGTTTCCCCTTGTCTCTGCTGACGCTTCCATTGTCTCTAGAAGTCTATCTTATCTTGTCCTATCCATTCTCTAATTTCTTTCATACCTCTTCCCCACCTCTTATCTTTAATTAGAATTACAGATCCCAAATTTCCAAACTAGGGTGGGAGGAGGGAGAGGAGCAGAAAAGATACTGGGTACTGGGCTTAATACCTGGATGATGAAATAATTTGTACAGCGAACCCCCGTGACACATGTTTACCTACATAACCAACCTTCATGTGTACCCTCAATCCTAAAATAAAGGTTAAAAAAAATTTGGAACTAATAATCATTTGGTTAATTTTGTTAGACATGAGGTTACTAAGGACCAGAGAAGTCAAATAACTTACCAAAGTTCACACAGCTTTTCATTTGAAAATGGCCAACCACAGCGCTAAAAATTTAAATTTTTTCTTTCTAGTTATTAAATGTTTTAGGTTCTCTGTTTTTAACTTGGAAAGCTGCTTAGTGGAAAGACTGCTAAATGATAAAATGGATTATTGTTAACTTGTTGTTTTAAGTGATCCTCAAATGATTCCTTTCTCCTTGTGGGATGTTGACCACTGACGGGGAAGCAGGCTCTGGGACTGGGTGTGATTCTCTGGGAATAAAGGAGTTACTCATGTGGTTCCATAAGAGTCGGCTTTCTGTCCTCCAGCTTGAATGTTAGAAATTATGCATGGAAAACTAGTAATTCTGCCTAGATGAACTCAGTGATTCTCTATACTTTATTTTTCTCTTTAGTGATGAGATGCTTAGGTGTTCCAACTCGTGTTGTTTCCAATTTCCGTTCTGCGCACAACGTGGATAGGAACTTGACCATCGACACGTACTATGACCGAAATGCAGAGATGCTGTCAACTCAGAAACGAGACAAAATATGGTGAGAGGCACTGTCTTGAACAGATCTCTGCTCTGTCCTGGGGAGAGCAGGAAAACTTTGATCTGGTTCTCTCTGCCTCTTGAGGCAATACTGCAAGATTGCCCAGAACATTGCTGCTGATACTCAGAGAAGAGAAGAATTCCCCAACCCAGGAGGTTGTTCTGGTTAATTACGTCATCAACTTAAACTCATTTCAGAGATAGAAAACAATGGAATAACATTCTGAGGCCTCAACCAAATGACTAGCCAGCTGTCTTCTGAACACTAACCTCAAAAGTCTTTATTCATCTTCCTCTTCCTTCTCCGAGTCTCTGTTTGTACCATTCTGTTTTCCCAGAAGTCAGACAGAGCCTGGACTGGCTATTTCTGTAGACATATTCTTGTCTCTCTTGACTTCTTCCTCTCCCCGCCCCACTCACTTCTGTGTGCGTGTGTGTGTGATCTCTGTGGATCCCTTTATTTGTGTATCTTTGGTGTCTTTTCCTGGTTCTTTTGTCCTTGGCATTACCCCCAAATCCGGTTTCCTGTTTTTTCTTTTCCAGCCTTCCAGCCAGTTTCCAGGTAAGATTTTATTTTTTTTTTTTTTGAGATGGAGTCTCGCTCTGTCACCCACGGTGGAGTGCAATGGTACGACTTCAGCTCATTGAAACCTTCACTTCCTGGGTTTAAGGTATTCTCTTGCATCAGCCTCCCGGGTAGATGGGACTATAGGCCCCAACCACCATGCCTGAATAATTTTTGTATTTTTAGTAGAGATGGGTTGTCACCATGTTGGCCATGTTGGTCCCGAACTCTTGACCTCAGGTGATCCACCTGCCTCAGCCTCCCAAAGTGTTGGGATTACAGGTGTGAGCCACCGCACTCAGCCTCCAGGTGAGACTCTTTGAGTTGTGTGAGAACTAGCTGCTGTCCTAGGAGCCCCCTCCCTCTCTGAGCTTCTATTTCCTTGTCTGTAAAATGAAGATAATGTCAACTTCACAGGATTGCTAGGGTGCAATGAGATCAATGTCGGTAAGGAGGATTTTCAGCCTGGGATCCACAGTTAGACTCCTAGAGGGCTGAATCGTCTCTGATTCAGGAAGTAGTGGTATATCTGAAGATATGTAACTTAGGTGCAGTTCTGTCTTTGAATGCATGTCCTGAGTCTAATAATGAGGAAACATCAGACAAGCCCAAAATGGGGGCCACTCTGGTTTTAAAAGATAAATAAATAAAATAAAGACTGTTTTCATTAAAAGCCCAGACTTCACCACTAGGCAATATCTCCATGAAACAAAACTACATTTGTACCCTTTACATTTACAAAAAAATAAAAAAAGAAAGCGAGAGAGTGTTTTAAAATCCCAGTGTAAGGAAAGAAAGAAAGGTGGAGGAACTATTCCAAGATCAAAGGGTATGAGAAGCTGTGCAGCTGAATGTAGTATGTGATCACAGACGGCATCCCATACCACGTGGGAAAAGAATGCTCTAAACCACATCATTAGGTCAACTGACAACATTAAAATATAGACCGTAAATTAGATAAAAGCATCACATCAATATCCAACGTGCTAGAGAGGATGAACTATACAGGGGTTAAGAGAAGATCTCTATTCTTAGGAAATAAACACTGAAGTGTAGATGTGTAGATATCTATTTATATGTCCACACTGAAAGAAAAAATGGGGCAAAATGTTAACAGCAGATGAATTGGGTAGATGGATGTTCTTTGTACTATTCTTGTGACTTTTAGTACGAAATTACTTCCTCATAAAAAGTAAGAAAAAGAAACTGATATAAATCACTCCCTATAGTGCCTGGTACCTGGCAAAACCTCAGCGAAAATGAGCCCTTGTCTCCTTACTCCCTCCTGCAGGAACTTCCATGTGTGGAATGAGTGCTGGATGATCCGGAAAGATCTCCCGCCAGGATACAACGGGTGGCAGGTTCTGGACCCCACTCCCCAGCAGACCAGCAGTGGTGAGTGAAGACCACTGAGACGGGCCCTGGCTCTGTGGGGAGGCAGATTAGGGTGACTGACCATGGGAGCAGGAGGCCAGGGAGGAGTAGTGTTTTCCACTGCACCCCATTCCTGAGGTCCCAGCTGTCACAGCTGTCAGGAATCTAACTCTGCCATTGACAGCAGCATTACCTGGATGGGTCACTGGACCTCAGTTGTTTTCTTAGTGTGAAGTGGAAAAGTTGATGATGAGTGCTGCCACTTCGTAGGGTGGCTGTGAAGGTCAGATGAACTAATGGGAACAAAAGTACTTGGTAAATTGGAAGATATCCCATGGGTGAAGGTCAGCGGTGCCACTGCCCTTCCCACCTCCACCTACCACAGCCACAGTCAGCTGCCCTTGGCCCCCATATCAGTAGCCTGTTGCCTCCACAGGGCTGTTCTGCTGTGGCCCGGCTTCTGTGAAGGCCATCAGGGAAGGGGATGTCCACCTGGCCTATGACACCCCTTTTGTGTATGCCGAGGTGAACGCTGATGAAGTGATTTGGCTCCTCGGGGATGGCCAGGCCCAGGAAATCCTGGCCCACAACACCAGTTCCATCGGGAAGGAGATCAGCACCAAGATGGTGGGGTCAGACCAGCGCCAGAGCATCACCAGCTCCTACAAGTACCCAGAAGGTGCCAGGCTGGAAATTTGGGGAGAGGGCTGGTTTAAGCTTCTTTGTCCTGCCCCCTAGCTGGGATGGCTCCAAGTTGAAACCGTCAGCATCTAATCACCTCTTCCTCATGGCAAACTCCTAGGGGTTCTTCCTGGATTCCAGGCATATGACCCTTGGGTAGGGTTACCAGCAAATAAAAAAACAGGATGCCCAGTCAAATTTCAATTCTGGATAGATTTAGATAAACAAATATTTTATTGTGTATGTCCCAAATGTTTTATGTGACATACTTATTCTAAAAAGTATTCACTGTTTATCTGAAATTCAAAGTGGGATTTTTAATATATAAGTATGCTCCAAATATTGCATGGAATGTACAATACTAAAAATCGTTTGTTGTTTATCTGGAATTCAAATGTAGTTGGATGTCCTGTATTTTAACTCCATCCAGAGTGGTGCCACTGTCTCCCTATGTCCATGGCAGGAGGGGTGGTAGCGAGGGAAGTGGTGAGGTGGGAGGATGGGCCCCAGGGCCTGTGGATGGTGTGGGACACACCTATGGAGGGCGCTTGTGTGGAATCAGGCTGCCTGAGTACTAAACAGGACTCTGCCATGATCTGTGTAAGCCTGGACACAGTTTACCACCCCTGTGCCTCCATTTCCTCATCTGTAAAATGGGATAACAGTCCTTGGAGGGCTGTTGTGAGGGTTAAATGACTGAATTCATAGAAAGCACTGGGAACAGTGCCTCTGGCACATAGCAACTGCTGTAGAGAAGTCCACAGATGGGGGTAAGTTCAGGTTAAGTCTCTGTGTTGAATAGCCCCCATGGGCAAGAGATGAAGCTCTTTTGTTTATAAGTTTTGAGCATATATTTTAGCTGGAGGGATACTGGTCCAGGAGAGGAGCCTCTGGCTTCATGACGATGATGACAGTGATGCTGGTGGCCATAGTGATGGAAGAGAACAGTGCTGAGTGCTTGCAGCCAGCAACTCACTTAGCCAGGCTTTTTTGGAATCCCTTATAAGGAGAGTAGATATAATCCCTGGGTTACGGATGACAGAACTGAACCCTTAGAGATTAAAGGACTGAGACAGAGCAAGGATTTGAACCCAGCAAGTGGTGGCTCAGCTGCGCCACTACGCTGCTTCCCTGAGCTGCTATTCCTGTGCCTTATTGTCCCAGGAAAGTCACCGGTCCTCTCCATCCCTCCCTCCTGCAGGATCCTCTGAGGAGAGAGCTGTCTTCATGAAGGCTTCTCGGAAAATGCTGGGCCCCCAAAGAGCTTCTTCGCCCTTCCTGGATCTCCTGGAATCCAGGGATCTTAGGAATCAGCCAGTGCAGCTGCAGCTTCACCTGGCCAGGATGCCCGAGTGGGGCCAGGACCTGCAGCTGCTGCTGCGTATCTGGAGGGTGCCAGACAGCACCCACCCTTGGGGGCCCATCAGACTGGTGGTGCACTTCTGTGCACAGGCCCTGCTGCATGGGGGTGGCACCCAGAAGCCCCTCTGGAGGCACATGGTGCGGTTGAACCTGGACTTTGGGAAGGGTGAGTGTGAGGCAGGCCTGAGAAGCCACCTACAGGAGGGGAGCTGGGGGGCCATGAACACAGTGGGGCAGGCCCAGCCCGATCACACAGAGACCCCCTCCTCCAACGCACACATATTCCGGGTGATGAAGCTGCCAGCTGTTGCACCTCTGAAGCCACCCCACCAGGTGAGCCGGAGAAGTGAGCCTTGGGGGCAGTGTGTGCATGGTGGAACACTGTCCATATCTCTCTCACACACACACTCGCACTTTTACAACTCACGTGAAAATTCTAATTTTTTCTCTTTCACATCTACATGTACCCCCCTCTCTCTGCCCCATGTCCTGGACTCATGGTGTCTTTTGTATATGCTTAGAGACACAGTGGCCGCTCCTCCTGCCCTACAGCAATTACAGAAACAAGCTGACGGACGAAAAGCTCATCCGCGTGTCTGGCATCGCTGAGGTTGAAGAGACAGGGAGGTCCATGCTGGTCCTAAAAGATGTCTCTCTGGAGCCTCCCCACTTGTCTATTGAGGTAGGTGTCTGGACACAGGTCAGGGCTCAGAGGCTCTCAGACTCACCCAATCCAGGTGCTGGGACAGCCAGCAAGACACTGTCACCACCTCACATACCACACTGATGGCTCCAGCACAATGTGGTGTGGTCTTGTACTCTGTATCGATGCGGGGTGGGGCCTGAAGGCTTCTCAAAGGAGGTACAATTTTTCAGAGGATGCATAGGAAGCTGTATAGAGAAATGAGATGGGTGTGAAGGCATTTTAAGTAAGGAAAATCCTTTTGCAAAGGCAGAGAGATAGGAGAGGCAGTGAATAGGAGATGGAGAAGACAGATTTAGAGACTCCACAAAGTCAAATTCAAACAGTGAACACCAGCTAAGTGTGGTGGCTTAGCCCTGAAATCCCAGTGCTTTGGGAGGCCAAGGCAGGAGGATCTTTTGAGCCCAGGAGTTCAAGACCAGCCTGGGTAACATAGTGAGATCTTGTCTCTTCTTAAAAGTTTTTAAAAAGTTAGTTGGTGTGGTGGTACATGCCTCTAGTCCCAGATACTCAGGAGGCTGAGGTGGGAGAATTGCTTGAATCTGGAGAAATCAAAGCTGCAGTGAGCTGAGTTCATGCCACTGCATTCCATCCTGGACAACAGAGTGAGACTGTCTCAAAAAAAAAAAAAAAAAGGTGAATATTGACAAGATTGAGGTGACAAAGAGGGAAACAAATGAAAAATGAGCTTAAGAGTTTGAGTTCAGATGCTTGAGTGGCCAGCAAGGCCATTAAACAAAGAAGGAATTTCAGGCGAAGGAAGGGTGAATGGAAGAGTGTGGGCATGGTCCCCATCTCCTGCTACCAGGGTTTCCTTCCCAAAAGCCTCGTTTCCCCACCTGCCCCTCCCACTCGGAAAGACTTACCCACTGCCTAGTCCAAACCTGGAGGCTTCCCCAACAGCACCCCTGTCCCCACCCCAAATGAGAACTGGGCAACTCTGGACCATAAATCAGCTGGCATACCCTCCGGTTTTCACCTAAGCACATTGTCAGGCTGTCAGCCAGCTGACACCAGGCAGCCTCTGTGCTGGGGCAAAGAGTGGACAGAATTGCAAGTGCAGCCACAAGCCTGGGACTGTGGCCAGGGCCCTGCCCTGTACCTGAAGCAAACATGGCAAATGCCAAGTTGGTTGCTAATTGGTTCCCATTAGTAAGGGACATAAAGATGATTCCACAGTTATTTTAACCTGTTCTACTTTGACACCCTCATTAGGGTGCAAGGGACTTGGTATTTTTGCTTGGACTCCAGAGAAGTCATGTATGTTTTTCCTTTTCCCTGAGTTTCTGGCCCAGCCAGGACAAGACCCTAGTATGATGTGGGTGGTCAGAGCTCATTTCAGTTCAACACGTGTTTACTGATGTCCGTCATCTGGCCGGCACTGTTGTAGGCACAGGGGCTCCAGAAACAAGTAGGGAGGATGCCTGCCTCCCACTCACAGGCCACGGCGGTGCTGCCCCGTGGCACAGCACTGAGCATACCTGGAAAAACTTGAGTGCATGCCCTGCTGATGTTGATGAAGACGCAGCAGTGTGGGGAAAGGTCCTGGGCTGGGGTCTGGGACATCTGGGTCAGGTCCTGGCTCTGCCATTAACACATCATGGGACCTTGGCCTCATTATTTCCTCTGTGATGAATGTAAGGGTAGAATTACATCACTGATGGCATATGGGTGGCACACCTGACACCACTTCCTTACCCCACATCTGTGTTAGACACGAATCGATTATGATCCTTTGTCCTCAGGATCCTTCTAACACAGCCTTCCTAGTAGCCACCACCCACCCACTGGAGCTGGCTTCTGTTGACATCTTGTGGGTATCTTGAACTAGATGGTGAGGAGGGAAACAGGTTTCAGCTTGCTGGCAGTTTCTGATTGGTGGTGGCTCCTTGGGGTATTGTGACCTAAGACAGGTGTTTGTATGTGCTCATCTCAAACACTCTCAGATCATACTCATAGCATGTTAGCCCTAAGCGGTAGTTCCTGGTGGTCGCCAGGGACCTGGAGTGGGGGGTAACTGAACCAGAGTGCAGAAGTGAGGCCAGTTGCGCACAAGATTGCTGACTTCTCTCTGCACAGGTGTCTGAGAGAGCTGAGGTGGGAAAGGCGCTGAGAGTCCACATCACCCTCACCAACAACTTGATGGTGGCTCTGAGCAGCTGCATGATGGTGCTGGAGGGAAGTGGTCTCGTCAATGGTCAGATAGCTAAGGAGTAAGTGACACTTCTGCCTACCTCTCCTGTGCTGGTCTTGGATAAGGGGCGCCCTGTGGCATCACAGGACCCTCCTCAGTCTCCTGTGTGGTACCTCTCTGCCCCCACTTTCTCACCCTCCTCAGGAAAGGCTGAGCTTAGAGGTGGTGGCTAGTGGGAGCTTCTTACCCATCCAGAGGGGAACTGATCACCCTCCCCACAGGCAGGGACTCCTCAAGGCTCTCATAGGCCCTTTCTGACTTTCAGCCTTGGGACTCTGGTGGCTGGACACACCCTCCAAATTCAACTGGACCTCTACCCCACCAAAGCCGGACCCCGCCAGCTCCAGGTTCTCATCAGCAGCAATGAGGTCAAGGAGATCAAAGGCTACAAGAACATCTTCGTCACTGCAGCTGGGGCTCCCTGAGCCCTGCCCTCTGGCTACCCACCCTGTCACCCCTGCCCCGCCTTGTTCCTTTCTAATCCTGACCTTGTTGTTATGGCTCCATCTCTATCCTCTGTCCAGTCTGCCTGGGAGTGAATGAAGCTCTGTTAAAGACACCGTGTGCTTTGGGAAGAGACAATAAAGACATCTTTATTGATCACCAGCATTCTCAAGACACTTATTGCTCCTGGCTGGTCCTCTTGGCCTGGCTGCCAGCTGTGTGGCTGTGCCCTCCCTGCCCCTTCTGCCCTCTCTCTCCTCCCTTAAGAGCAGCCCCAACCACAAAATAAGCCCACCACTATCCCCTCTAAAGCAGCCTCTCTGAAATTAAGGATCCCAGGTCTCTCTATTGACATTGTCTTAGCGAGCCTGCAGGCAGAGGATGGAGGGAGGCCCAGGGAAGGCAGCTTGGATGTGCTAGGAGGACAGTGATCCCATGCTGAGTGACCAGAAGCTGCCCAACAGGACTGCTCTGCCCCCAACCTAGAGTATCCTGGGAGGCACAGGCAGCCACCTTTCTACATGGGTTCATTGACAGACAGGATGACTGGGAAGCACTGCATAGCTGGCTGCTGTCCAGCAATGGCCTTGCCTGCTCTCCCTGGTCCCTCCCTTCCTGGCTTTGCCACTTGCTCCTTCACCCTCATCTTGCATTCTTCTCCATCGTCCCAACTCACTCCTTCACCCTCATCTTGCATTCTTCTCCATCGTCCCAACTCACAGCCTCTCTTCGTGTGTGTGTGTGTGTGTGTGTGTGTGTGTGTGTGTGTGTGTATTTTGAGACTGAGTTTCCCTCCTGTCGCCCAGGCTGGAGTGCAGTGGCAAAATCTCAGCTCACTGCAACCTCCTGGGTTCAAGCAATTCTCCTGCCTCAGCCTCCTGAGTAGCTTGGATTACAGGCACACACCATCATGCCTGGCTAATTTTTTTTGTATTTTTAGTGGAGAAAGGGGTTTCACAATATTGGCCAGGCTGGTCTCGAACTCCTGACCTCAGGTGATCTGCCTACCTCAGCCTCCCAAAGTGCTGGGATTACAGGTGTGAGCCACTGCGCTCAGCCTCCTTTCTGTCTTTTGTTTTTGTTATTTTAAGGACAGAGGGAGCCACTTTTTGGTATTTCTTTCTCTGGTGGTTCCAAAATTATTCCTGCTAATTTTAGATAATTTGGAAAGTGGAAACAAAACAAAACAACCCCCCCCCCAAAAAAATCTAAAGAAAAATCACCAGGGGGTCCAAAGTGGCTCCCGCCGGAGGTCATGGCGCTCGCGAAGGCGAGGTCATCAGTTCAAGGCTAACCTCATAAGCTCAAACTGATTGGCAAAAAAAAAAAAGAAAAATCACCAGTAGCTCCTCCATCGCATAGAAAATCTTTGCTAACATTTCTCAAGAAATCATTTTGGCTTTCAGCCTTGGGACTCTAGTGGCTGGGCACACCATTCAAATTCTTTTTTTCCCCTTTTATTATGTTGTTGAAAAGTCAGCATTACAAATGGATACCTCTCCATCATGGATAATTTAGAAAATTCAGAAACACAGGAAAGGAGAGCATCTTCCTGTTGTCTGCAGGCACGGGCGCCTGGCTTTCGCTCAGTCCTCACCTGCCCGAAGCTCTGTGGTTTCATTTGACTCCTTTCCATCTTCCCTTCCCTTCCCCTCCTCCTCTCCCTCTTTCTCTCCCTCTTCTTCCTCCTCTTCTCTCTTTTCCTGCCTCTTTCTCCTCCTCCTCCCCCTTTTTTCCCTCCTTCTCCCTGCATTTTTTTATTTGTTTGTTTGCTCTGAGTCCTACTTCTCCCTTCTATTTTCTCTCTTGGGTGGTCCCCAGCCCTGTCTGTACACAGCTGCTTGGGTCGGGAGGCCTGCACATCCTCACTCCACCCCATGTGTCAGCTGCACCCATCCCTATGAGGTTCCATGGGGCATTTCTGTGGTGCCCTGTCATGCTCTGTGTTCCAGGTGGCTTCCTGCCATCAGGAGAGGGCCACCTGAACTGCCCTTGCAGGAATGTGAAACCTCACCTGTCTGCCAAGCACTGGGTCTTCATGTTTAGTCATGGCCCTCCTTTCCTGTCCCTGGTGTGTCACTGGAGAGGAACAGTGGGCAGGCTCCTACTGGCCTAGGAAAGGCCTCCTGGGGGATGTGAATGTTGGTCATTTCTGCTTTTCCAACCCAACTTTCAAATTATTTTTCCTGTCCCTAAGTAAAAATTGTCTTTAAAAATTATTATACTCTAGCCTGGACGCAGTAGCTCACACCTGTAATCCCAGGACTTTGGGAGGCCGAGGCAGGCTGATCACCTGAGGTCAGAAGTTCGAGACCAGCCCGGCCAACATGGTAAAACCCCCATCTCTACTAAAAAATACCAAAAAATTAGCCAGGCATGATGGTCAGACCCCATCTGCAACATTAAAGAAAAAGATTTCATGATGAAGATGTTGAAAGCAATCACAACAAAAACAAACATTGACAAATGAGATCTAATTAAACTTAAAAGCTTTGCATGGCAAAAGAAATTAAAAATAGAATAAACAGACAACCTACAGAATGGGAGAAAATATTTACAAACTATGCATCTAACAAAGGTCTAATATCCAGTCTCTATAAGGAACTTAAACAAATTTACAGGACAAAAACAAACAACTCCATTAAAAAGTAGGCAAAGGACATGAACAGACAGTTTTCAAAAGAAGACATACATGTTGTGAGCAAACATATTAATAAAAGCTCGATATCACTGATCATTAGAAAAATACAAATCAAAACCACAATGAGACACCATCTTACACCAGTCAGAATGTCCTTTACTAAAAGTCAATAAACAACAGATGCTGGCGAGGCTGCAGAGAAAAGGGAGCATATATGCACTGTTAGTGGAAGTGTAAATTAGTTCAACCATTGTGGAAAGCAGTATGATGATTCCCCAAAGAGCTCAAAACAGAACTACCATTTGACCCAACAATCCTATTACTGGGTATGTACCCAGAGGAATGTAAATCATTCTATTATAAAGACACATGCATGCGAATATTCATTGCAGCACTATTCACAATAGCAAAGACATGGAATCAACCTAAATGCCCATAAATGACAGACTGGATAAAGAAAATGTGATACATATACACCATGGAATACTATGCAGCCATAAAAAGAATGAAATCATGTCTTTTGCAGGAACGTGGGTGGAGCTGGAGGCCGTTATCTTTAGCAAACTAACATAGGAACAGAAAGCCAAATATCTCATGTTCTCACTAAAAGTGGGAACACAAAGAAGGAAACAACAGACACTGGAGTCTACTTGAGGCTGGAGGGTGGGAGAAGGGAGAGGAGCAGGAAAAAGAACTATTGGGCACTAGGCTTAGTATTCAGTAATGAAATAATCAGTATAACAAACCCCCATGACAGGAGTGTACTTATGTAACAAATCTGCACGTGTACCCCCAAACCTGAAATGAAAGTATAAAAAAAAAAAAAAAATTTTTTTTAATTGAAGTACTTTGTAAATTGTGAAGTGCACTCATGGAGGTGCTGTACCAGTTTAATCCCTTCTCCAGGGTGACTGTCTGTTTCTAGGGGTGGGAAAGGAAGGGGAAAGAGGAAGCCACTGGTATCTGCCAGCTCTGGCTTCCCTGTGCAATAATCTGTGGGGCACCTTCTCACCCTCCCTCAGACCTGGGCACCCAGCCAGTCACAGGATCTGATTCTACAGGCAAAGAAACTGTCATCTGCTCAGGGGCACAATGGAAACTTATGGCAGGGTCAGAATCAGTACCCAAGTCTCTTTGGGTCTTAGAAAGGTCAGACCCCATCTGTAACATTAAAGAAAAAAAGGAAGTCCTGGAGGTTCCCCACCCCCACCTAGTTAGTGCTGGCCTGCCCCATGCGGACAGTGGGTGTGTCCTCACTTCTCTGTTCAGGTGTCCCTCCCTGTGGGCACAGCCCTGCTTCTGTCCAGACAGGAAGGTGCTCATCACCTTGGCTTAGCCTCCCTGTCTCTCCCAGTTCCCTCCCCTGGGCCGAGGGACAGTTGGCTCTATCAGAGCTGTCTCCCCCTCCCCAGCACCCTCACCCACATACCTTCTGACTAATGGCTCACAGGAATCGAATGAGGGGCTGAACCTACAAATCAACTCCCTAGACCCAGAGCCCAGGTCTTATTCAGCCCCAGGGTCCAGGCAGAGGAGTTGGCTGGGGTTTTCCTGACCATGTAAATGGGCTTCGTGCCCCTGTGGTGCTTCCACCTCCTCTCTCCTGTCCAGTGGCTACCTTAAACAAGTCTTCTTGTGCTTCTAAGTGCTCCTGACCATGCCGGCTCTTTTGGGGGAAATCCAGGCCCTCCAAGGTGAATGTGAGTTCTCTGCCCTCTCCTCAAGGTTGTGGGGTGGGCAGAAGCTACCCAGAGTTCCAGCCACTCGGGCTGGTGCAACTCAAGGGACTTTACTTAGAGTGACTGCCTGATTGCTCCAAAACTCTCTCAACTGTTTCCAGCTTGTTCAGGCTGGCTCCAGGGCGCCACAAAACAGGCTGTTGTCTCCCTGGTCATTGGGCACTTTCTCTTTTGGCCACCAGAGTTACCCTAGCTGTGCTTACCTTCCTGTTCCCCCTCACACTTAAGCTCTCCTGCCTATGCCCCTTCCTCCTCCACAGTTAACCCATCTCAGCATGTGGCAGTGGGTTCAGGCATTCATCCATTTGTTTATGTAGGGACCATCTTTTAATCCATTCACTCTATCAGGCAACAAATAAGCACTGGAAAATCAACTGTGTTTGAGACATTGCAGTAAACACTTACGAAGCGCCAGGCTCTGGAGTCTGACGGCTGCATTCAGAATCTGGCTCTACCAGTTCTTTGTGAATGATCTATTTAATGTCTTTAAGTCTGGATTTCTTCATCCATAATGTCGGAACAATAACACTAACTAACTACAGGGATGTTGTAAGACCAAGTGGGGTCATGCACATAAATACCTCAAAATAGAATCTGTTATAAAAGCTACCGCTGGTTGTATTAGTCGTTCTACTACTACTCTATTCTGTTACTACTATTCTACTACTATTAGCCACTGTCATTATTAAGCACTGGAAACACTGTTAATAGGACAGAGTCCATGCCCTCCAGGGGGACTGGGGGAAAGACAGGCAAGTATTTATAATGTTGAGGCATGAGTTGGCCAACAGGGAATGCAGAAGAAGCAGCTGCTGATTAGAATACTGGTGTGGTAGAGGAAGGGTGTCAGGAAGACTTCCTGGAGGGGTGATGCTTGAGCCTGGGTACTGGAGAAAGCAGACAAGTTTCAGAAAGAGAGAGGCTGATACATGCAAGAGAGAGGGAGGTGCGGGAGGGGAAGACCCTCAAAGGTTTTGAGGGTGATGCTGAGAAGTCTGGACTTTATCCATTGTGGGATCATTAGCAGGGAAGCAACCTGATGGAATAGGTACTTCATAAAAATCACTGGTGACCCATTTGGAGAAAGAGTGAATGGAAACTGGTTAGGAGTTGTCCAGGTAAGCAGGGGGCTTCAATGAAGGCAGAGCAAGGGGCACAGTTTCAGGACAGCCTCAGGAGTTGGGCTGGACTGATGGGCTAAAGTGAGGTCAGGAAGCTAGAGAAGTATAAGGTGGCACGCAGGTGTCCTCTGAAGTGATGGGTGGACAGTGTCCTCACTCACCAAGACCAGACGTGCAAGAGGAAAGGCAGGTATTTGAGAGGAAGGAGAGAGGGGAGGAGTTCCATCTGGGCTCCACAGCTGTGAGGTGTCTTAGAGTCCCCTAGCAGAGCTGTCCAGCAGAAGGTGCCTGCAGTACACAGCTCTGGGAATCCCCAGTGTCATGTGGGAGCCATTGGAGTGAGAAGAGAAGAGATGTGGACACATCCCTGGGAGGCACCAGTTCAAGGAGTGAGAGCCTGTGATGGGGACTGAGAGGAAGAGGACAGTGTGGATGGGGAGGTAGGCGGACCACCGAGAAAGAGAAGTCACCTAAGCCCAGGAGGAGTGGTCAGTACTGGAAGGGCTACTGGAGGCCTTGCAGGATAAAAGCAGGAAAGTCACCCAGTGCCCAGCTCTCAGAGCTGGGAGATGAGCATGGCTTCGAGGCAGCTGTGGGACAGAAGGCAGCCTGCAGCATTTGAGGGGAGGTGGGAGGCAAAGCAGTGGGCAAAGAGCTTGGCCAAGAAGTGGAGTTGAGAGAAAGGGCAGGGGCTGCCGGGGAAGCTGGGGATGAGGATTGAAGGTAGATGTGCTGTGTTAAAATAGTGAACTGCATTTGTGTACATCTACCCTATAAGAGCTGGGGTGTGGACCACAGGCCACCAGGGTCGGTGAAGGATCCCAAGATGGCTGGGCAAAAACTTCCTCTAAAAACCATTGACTGGGTAGCTTTTGTGGAGATCGTACCCCGAAACCAAAAGGCCATTGCTAATTCCCTGAAATCCTGGAATGAAACCCTCACTTCCAGGTTGGCTACTTTACCTAAGAATCTACCAGCTACTGACTGCACTTACTACAAGGCCAATGTGGCCAAGGCAGGCTTGATGGATGACCTTGAGAAGTTTAATGCCCTGAAGTTTCCTGCACCAGAGGATAAATATACAGCCCACGTGGATGCTGAAGAAAAGGAAGATTTGAAAACTTGTACCGCATGGGTGTCTCTCTCAAAGGCAAGGATTGGACAATATAAGAAACAGCTGGAGAAGATGAGGAACTTAATTCCATTTGATCAGGTGACCACTGAGAACTTGAACAAAGCTTTCCAAGAAACCAAATTAGACGAGAGAAACTATCCCTATTGATCTCACCAACCAATCAAGAATCTATAAAATTGAGTCCCGGAGGGAGCTCTGGCCCTTATATTACACATCTGGACATTAAAAATAAAAATAATTACATAGTTACAAAAAAAAAAAGAGCTCAGTGGGGACAGAGAGAATTGAAAATACAGGAGGGAGGACAATGCTGGTGAATGCGGTTCCCGAGAGAGAAGGACAAGAAAGCAGGGGATGCAGGGAGAAGTGGCCACAACAGAGAAAGACAGGGTGGGCATTTTCTTCACAGGCAGAGCCCTTCCCCTTCCTTCCCTTTCTCTTCTTCCACCTGCACTTTTCTCTCCACAAGGGCACTGCAAGGGCTTGTGCCTTTCTTATTAGGATCAAGGTCCTTGTTCACCGGCATTCCTACCCTCCCATCTATTTCCAAACCTCCTCCACAAATCTTCCCAGTTTTTCTTCCTCTACTGCTTTTATTTGTGATTTGTCCTGCACCTGCCAGGTCTCACGCAAGACAATGCCACTGCCAAAGCTAAATATGGTGAAATTATACCAAAGGAGATCCAGACAGAGTGGGTTCTGTTTGCATTTAATGTTCAGGAAGTGACTCTTCAGGATAAAAGAGAGGCCGCCGGTTACCTAGCAGGGTTCTCAGCTCACTGAAGTGCTTTAATCTGTGAGCAGGGTCTTGACCCTGATGCTCCCTCCAACAGCCCTCCACACCCCACTGGAGGCTCCATCAGTTCACTTCTCCCTCCTGGCTTCTCCACCATAGCACAAGACCTGCCACGGAGTGCCCTATTGCTCAAGAGCTATCAAAGGCCCACATGGCACCAGGCTGTGACAGTTCACAGCCTCCACACCTCCTCTCAAGCCAGCAACACTACCAAGAAAAACCTGAGGGCAAGTGAGCAAACCAGTTGTGAACTGCTTGGTAATCAGATAATCAGGTGGCAGTGCAGCAGTCCAACCCCGCCTTTGGTTCTCCTGGAGTCTCCCAATGGAAGAGGAAGTAGACACTCTGGCACCAGTTTTCTGAAGCTCCAGACTGCCCAGCTGTTCTGTGGGGAGCATCCCAGGAACTGGAGGCAGCCACCATGGCCCAAGGTAGGGAAAGCCCCTGTGGCTGCTAGAGTTCAGGAACAAGGAGGACAGAGAGAGACTGTAGGAAGTCAAAGGGTGGAGGGTGGATTATGAGAAATGAAGAAGTAAATACAGAACTGAGGCAGTAAAAGCAAAAACTCCAGAACTCTGAATTTGTTGGTGGCCTGAGAACCAGGAGACAGCGTGGAGGCTGACAGGTAAACACAGCCACACAGCTGCATGCTAACATGCCTGCCTCCATAGCCAGGTGGGCCAGGACAAGGCCAGGGATAAGGGGGTCAGGGTTTCTGTCCTTCTCTGCCACTAGCTGATCCTTTGACATTGGACAAGTCACTTCACCTCTAGTTTTCAACCCCTTGCATTGGATTGGACCAGGCAATCTTGAAATCGTCTTTCCAGCTCTGAAGTTCTCTGAACCTTCATATCTTCTCTTCTTTCTCCATTTCAGCGGGTCTGTAACTCATCTTAGCTAATCTTCCCATCACCAACTTTCTCTCTATATCATCCCCCTCTCTGGAAAGAGCTGCTATGAAGATTAAATTGCTAGTTGAAATTATTTAGAGGAATAAGCTTTCAACTTGCTCTATAAATGTAAACTATTTATTACTTTTTGTATTTAAATTTTTGTTTTAAAATTTTCATAACTTTTAATTGCACAAGAAATGTATAAATACATAGTTGAAGTAAAGTAAATCAATAATTGTACATAAGTATAGATTATGCTATAGTTTTCAGCCTGCCATCCCCAATGGCAGCCTCATCTCCAGAGTAAGCATTGTTACCTGTCTTTTGTCTACACATTTACATTGAAGCATATATTTACTCAATGTAATAAATACGATTAGCATGTGTGGTTTTTCTTTTTTCGGTATATCCATGGTATCATTATATTGTATGTATATTTCTGAAACTTGATTTTTTTCACTCCACTGTATGTCTGGGAGCTCTGTCCCTGACAGTTAGTACCTATAGATCTACCTCAATATTTTCCACAGTATCGGTGAAAGTAATTTCTAATCCAGTCCCCTATTGATGGGCATTTAGGTTTTTTTCTATTTTCCAGTTACACAAGCAATATTGCAAGGAACATTCTTAGCTTCTGTGTGCTCATGTGGGAATGTCTCTCTAGGATAACTACTAAGATCACTTACTTTAAAATTTCTTTCTACAATCTCCTGTTTATTTCCTGATCATTTCACCCCATTCTCCTCTCACTTCAAGGAGAACAAATATGCGCAGTAGTCAATGAACCCCCCATATCAATAGATGGTGCCTGAGCTGAAGAGTCATCCCTGTCTTAGGCAGAGACTAACATGGTCCAGGATGTCTCTAGAGGATGAAATTCTGCCCCAGCTCTTGCTGACAGACAGATGCTGCCACGCCTGCTGGGTAGCCTGCGTCATGTGCCCAACCTGAACTGCAGTCAGTTAGTGCTGTCTAATCAATAGGTCTCCAAATAGGGTGAGTTTCTTTTTCCACTATTAGGAAAAAGCCAAGTGCTTTCTCAGCTGGCAGTAGGTCTGGGTATTTTTCTGAACATGACTGAAAGCCAATGGCGAGAAGCAGCTGTTGGGTGATGGGAAGAGCACTGGACTGTGGTCAGGAATCTTGGTTTAACCTTAGGTAAGACATTTAACTCACTGAAACCTTGCTTTTCTCATCTACATGTACCAATGACATGAATTTTGTCCCTCCCAGGATGTGATGAAGATTAAATGAGATAACTGTTCTAGAGTAACTGACGCAGTGCCTGGCACATAGTAGACAGGCCCTCAATAAGATGTTGCTTAAATCTGAAATCTGAAATAAGTACAGGGTGATTTTGCAAAAGAGAGAATTCTATTCAACCTAGCAAATCTTTCTGAGTACTTACAATATGCTGATCATTATGCTGAATTTCCTTTATAACAATAATAAACTAGTTTATGAAAAAGATGTGTGTTAAAGTAATCAAAAGCACTCAAAAAGATTTAAGATAAAGCTTAATATTTATTAGGGTATTTTGTCACCGTTGATTTGGTTCATATTTGTTTATAACAACTTTATTGAGACATTATTCATATACCATCAAGTCACCCTTACAAAGTCCACAATTCAGTGGTTTTTCATATACTCACAATGTTTTGCAAGCATTGCCACTATCTAGTTCTGGAACATTTCATTACCTCAAAAAAAAAAAAAAAATCCCATACGCATTGGCAGTCACATCCCATTCCACCTTTCTTTAGCCCCTAGCAAACCCTAATCTACTTTCTGTCTCTATGAATTTGCCTATTCTGGACATTTTGTATAAATATAATCATACAACATGTGTTCTTTTATGTGTGACTTCTTTCACTTAACAATGTTTTCAAGGTTCATCTACATTTAGTATGTTCAGCATTCTTTTTTTTTACAGTTAGATGATATTCCTTTGTATGATATATTATTTTGTTTATCTGTTCTTCAGTTGATGGACAATTGTGTTGTTTTTACTTTTTGGCTATTATGAATAATACTGCTATCATTATTCAGGTATTATGTGAACATGTTTTCATTTATCTTGGCTATATATACCTGGGGATATTGTTAGGTCACGTGGTAATTCTATGTTGAACATCTTGAGCAACTACCAGACTGTTTTCCAAAGTGTTGCACCATTTTACAGTGCCATCAGCAATATATGAGGATCCCAATTTCTCTGCATGCCCACTAACACTTGTTATTATAGTCATCCTAGTAGAGGCGAGATGGTATCTCATGTGTATTTCCCTAATGTCTAACGATGTTGAGCATCTTTTCATGTACTTATTAGCCTTTTGCATATTGCCTTTGGAAAAATATGTATTCAAGTCAGTTGCCCATTTTAAATTTGAGTTGTCTTTTTTATTGTAGAGTTACATTAATTTTTAAAAAGTATTCTGGATATGAGTCCCTTACCAGATATATGATTTACAACTATTTCCTAACATTCTGCGGGTTTTCTTTTCACTATCTTGATGATGTTCTTGAAGCCAAAAAGTTATTGATTTTGATGAGGTCCAATTCATTTGGTTTTTCTCTCACTGCTTGTACTTCTGTTTTCATATCTAAGTAACCACTTCCTAGTCTAAAATCACAAAGACTTACCTCTATGTTTTCTTCTAGGAGTTTCATAGCATTAGCTTTTATGTTTAGGTCTTTGATCCATTTTGAGTTAATTTTTAATAAATGATGTGAGTTATGCATCCAACTTCATTCTTTTGCATGTGGAAATCCAGTTGTCCCAGCATCACTTTTTGAAAAGAGCATTCTCTCTCCCATTGATTTGTCTTGGCACCCTTGTCAAAGATCAAGTGATTATAAATGTGAATTTATTGCTAGACTCTCAGTTCTATTCCACTGATCTATATGTCTATCCTTATACCACTACCACATTGCCTTGATCAAGAAGTGCCACTCCTCTAATTTTGTTTTTACCTTTCAATATTTTTTGGCTAATATGGATCCCTTGTATTTCCATATGAATTTTAGGATCCATTTGTCAATTTCTACAAAATGGCTTTTGGGATTTTGTTGAATCTGTAGAAAAACTTGTTATCTTAATGATATTGCCTTCCAATCCATGATCATAGAATGTCTTTTCATTTATTTAGATCTTCTTTAATTTCTTTCAATGATGCTTTTTAATATAGGTTTTGCACTTCTTTTATTAAATTTACTAAATTTTCTTAATTTTATTTTCAGATTACTCTTTGCAAATATATAAAAATACAATTGGTTTTTGTATATTGATATGTGTCCTGCAACCTTGCTCAGTTCATTTATTAATTCTATTTTTGGTAGGTTCCTCAGGATTTTTTATATACAAGATTATGTCACATCTAAATAGAAACAATTTTACTTCTTTCCAATCTGTATGTCTTTGAATTATTTTTTCTTTCTTTCTTCTCCTCTGTCTCTCT